TGCTTTCAGGAAGCCCGAGGCCTGAGTTCCCAGAACTGTGGATAATAGCCAAGACTCCTTCCACAACAACGAAGTGAGGAAGACGTGGTAGCAGAACTGTTCACGAGAGACAAAATGTCAGTTTAGGTCTCTAATGTATAGACTGAGGCCAGGTTAACGTTTTTCTAAAGTTTTTCCAGTCAAAAATTGGATTCAGGTCTCCCTGCCGGTCTATAGTGGTCTCAGAAATCACCAAAAACATAAAGTAGCCACAGATGAACAAGTAACGTGGATGAGTGACAAAACGTTTTTCCCACTGAAAACACTACGTCAGGATGAACAAAATCAAATTTTTGGGATAAAGGAGCCACAGATGTATTTCATTTCAACTCTCTCTCTCGAAGAGGTTCAGGAGCCACACGTGCGGAGGACATTAAAAATATTACCTGCAGTTTATGAAAGTAATTAGTTCCAACGGAAGAACCGATTTGTTCTCATGTGAACTGAACATCAGCTATACTGTAGGATCATTGACTAATGATGGGAGCTCATGTTTTATAACCTTTCTCACATCTTTGAAAATGCCATTTCAGAACTTGTGCAATTAAGATGCTTGGAATAATAAAGCAAAGCATGCTTTACATAAGGCTAAGAAACAGCCAGATGTATCTGATGTCACTGGCTGAGTTCTGTAGTAGTAATTGGAAAACGAGGAGGAAAAACGTTGCAGTTGTCTCAGCTGATTCCGATTTTTCTCAAACTATGACTTGCCAATACAGATTTTTGACAGCTTACACAAAAAATAGACTTTCTCCAACGCAAAACACTATTTTGATAACAAAACAAATTATTAAACTTTAGAATTTACCCCAAACCTCAAAGTTACAGGATCTTCTCTCATTAAAACGATTACTAACTATTAATATACCTTACCGTACAAAATAAGGTGCACCTATACTGGCTTGTTGCTGGCTCTAAGATCCAAATAGCTTTAGCTTTGCCAACTTTGTTAGCTTCTTTAAAATAGCCATGTTCAGCTGGGCGATTTCAGCGTCTTATTTAATTTGTTGTCGTGAACATTTCCTCCGCACATCTTGGAACTTTGTGTCTTCACTTTAAAGTAATGTTATGCTAACATTATGTTAGAATGTGGCTATGAATGTTTTTCTTCTCCTTAGCAAGGTAAAGCCATTCATTCACAATTAGGAATGCAATACGGTGCCTGTTTTTGCCCCTTAACATGATACTGCAGCAACTTCACAGAGCCTGGTTAGTGTTTTATGTGCAGCTGGTTTAGTGTGTCACAAATAAACATATGTGGTGGTACAGTCTAAAAGTTTCAGTGTCACTACATGTTACATGCAGTCGGAGGGTTGGTGGGGCTTTGCCGACTTTCTGAGTGGGAAGTGTGACAACTGTGGGGTCTTTCAGTTTTACGACTTAAAACTCTGGATTTCCAGTGTCTGACTTCAAATGTTATGCAGCATTAGCACTGCTTCACACTGTGTGGTTTTTAAGTGCATGCCCAAGCAAATGGTCTGTTTCTGTACATAATAGTTCTTCTACATGGCCCAGGGCCTTGAAAGTCCTTCAAATTTAATGGGTGCAACATATAATGCAGTGTTCGGGTAAGTAGTGTGGAAACTACCACACCTTGGTTTGAATGCACATACCTGTGGTTTACAGCCGCACAGGGCTTAGCTGGACAGCACCTTACTCATTCTTAAGTCAAGTCTGAAGTTGAGGACAGCTTGTACATAATGGTTAAAGTGGGATTGTTTGCAATGGAAGTCAGTAACACTGGTTTGTTGCTCTCTGCCAGATTGATTGAGACCTTTTTTTTTCTCCTAAAGTAAATATGCATGAGCTGCCAGGACCTACTCGGAGACTGTGGTCCTCCCAAAAGTCTGGCTCATCCAGCTCTAGCCAGAAAAATCAAAGATTCAGAAAGTGAATAAATAAAGTGCTGCACATTATTAATATTTCAACATTCAGAAACTCTCACATAGGGAGAAGAAAAAGCAAGAAACAAACAAACAAAGTTAGCTGACCAGCAGCGGACAGTAGCAGCTCCCAGGTGCGAGAGAAAAAGCAGTCATGCTGTGCAAAAACCTCTCCTGGAAAATGGAAAGTACAAGGCTTCCCACACCTGCTCTGTGACATCAGATTTGTCAAAAAGAACAAGCGACTAGTATTTAAGAGTTGGCAGGATCAGGTTTCTTTACGTCACGCTGCAGTGGGAAAATGTTCAAATATAAACAAAGCTGTCAAGAAAGTCTAAATGGCAGCAGTGACATGATTTGTCACTGTCATGAGAGGACTTTTAGCTCAAGATTTGATCTCATTTGCAAAGGGCTGTTTGCATAATCGTTTATTATATTGTGCTGCCAACCCTCTCCTGCTTCCCAAAGGTTAATCATTTGCTTCCTCTTGCCAGTTCTGTGTGAGCTACTCTAAAGGAATCCTAAGAAACAAGAATAGAGAAGTTAATTTTTAGACACAGACTACATGCGCTGGAGGCAAATAAAACATGAGTATTTGGTCATCGCAGTGAAGTGTTTGAGTCAAAGCAGATACCACTGTGTACTTGATATTAAAGGAGACTTCCATATAAGCCTTTTTTAGTGGGTTTAAACTGTTATCTGTCTGAGGTTAGTGTGTGTGTTTAGGTAGATACTGTTTTATGTCTCCAGTTATTTAAATAGCCCTTATAACAGGAGAATTCATGCTGCAAATATGGCACTAAGTGTTTTTCTGTCCAGTTTTTGAAGAGGTTATGTGCAGATATTCAAGTTCCCAGAGGAGGAAGCCTAATGACTCCAGTAATACTTTATATCCAGATAAAAATCTCAACTTGGGGACTATGTAGTTGGTTGATTTGGTGGTCAGATTCCACATTTAGGTCACTGAGAGGATGAATCCTTGAGACTTTTGGGACATCTCCTGTCACGCTTGCTTCAGAACCTGTAAAAGGTTCACACACCACACATGAACAGTAACAAACCTTTTCTACAGATTTTTGAAAGCATATTCATTTAACTTAGTTTTACCCAAAGGCAATAAAACATGCAGGTAGCTTCCTCAGTTTGTGGCGGTAGAATGTTTAGGTGCCACAAAAACCCCTGGAGACACATGTTGCAGAACACATAGTTACCAGGTCATCTTATACCAGGTTATAGGATGTTCCACCCTTACTGTTTAATATTGAAACTATAAGCCTGGCCTGCAAATCCATACAGCTACAATAGCAGCAGAAGTGTTTCTGTCAAATGCAAATTGTGGGAAAAGTGTTATAAAAATACTGAAACAGTAGCGTTTGTATAGCTACATGTAATATATTTTATAAATCAAAACAACAGCCTCCTCTAGGTGCCTCGTATATTATATGAATTCCATCAATGATGCCAAATTTGAAATTGTCAGCAGATAAAGGTAAAGGAAAAATGGACTTGATGATATCGTTCTTGAGTAAATACATCTGTGGCACAGTTTTAAAAAATCCTGTGAAGCCTGTTTTTCAAGCTAATGCATTCACAAGGTTTTCAGTAAACTTGACCTCTGATTTTGACCTTGAAGTCACAGATTTTTAGTAGGTACATCTATGGTGTCAGTTCCTGCTACCAAATCCTGTCAGCTAGTTCTCCAGTTATGTTCCCAAAGTTGCCTGCCTGCCCCCTCGCCCAGCAGGGTGACAACAACACTCTAAGCTTTTCAAACTGAGGTGTCAAAATGAAGCCAGTGCACAAGTGCCCTGTGCAGGCCACCAGGTGATGATAGCTGGGGTTGGAAAGAGACGTCTGGTCCTATAGAAATCTATGAGAAAATGTTTTATTGACCTGACCTTTGTAAACACTTAGCTGCTGAATTTATGGGATCGTTAATTTTAGGACCTACTGAAATCTATTTTGTAAATCTTGCTCATGCCATGATTAATCGATTGTGGTAGTTTTATTTTTCTCAAATGGTTTCACGTTCAGACCAGTCCCTCCTCGTCACATCTGGTTTTTTCCGTGACCAAGATCACGATGACAGAAACTCATCTTGGGGTTTTAAAACAGGACTTCAGTAACTGTGTGCGTCTTTTGTATCATCTGTGGGCTTTCCCCCATCTTTCTAATTTGGCTCTGTGTTCTGTCAGAGCGCCACCCCTTAGTTTGACAAGGTCATAATTTCAATTTGTTGACTTGGTTTAGGACCAACTGTCTTTAAACTCTGTGACATCCCCATCAGCCCGTAGCTGTGTGGGCGCTTTTGTAGCATAGATGACACTGAGCATGTCACCATGCTCCGCTTTGTCCAACTGTAGCCTCACAGATCGTGCATCAGCATTATGCTTTACTGATATGCAGTGCAATCCAGCTTTACATATGCTCAGTGTTGATTTTGTAGAGATTTGAGGTAAAGGCTTTGGTCTGGCTTTGTATGCCAGCACATTTGATTTGTGAAGAAACAATGAAGATGCAACTAAAGTCCTGACTTTCAGCTTTGATTCAAGGGACTAAGCTTCAATATTGCATTAACTGGTGATGGGAAATTATTCATTTGTTCAATTAGATTTCAGTCTCTGGAAATAGTGGGGACTGTGTATAAAAGACAGGCTGGAATTTCTAAATGGTTGAAGCTGTATTTTTTTATTCCGCCACTTAAACCTGAAGCGGAGAATCAACACTTTGGTTATGTTGGATTGTTTCAGTTCAAATCAGTTTTACAGAACCAAACTTATGTCACTGTCCATTTCCAGACTCTTACTGCAAGTGTTTTTGGTTCATTTGCACACAGCCTTTTCAACCATCTGGGATTCATACAAGCAACCACATTAACAAATGTCGTGTAACTGAAATAATTCCAAGATGATTCCCAAGAAAAACACATCCATCGAAGGATTAAGCAGTGGGAAATGTATCTGTCAAAACTCCAGTAAATCCAGCCCTTTTGTCTGGGTTCATTTGTTTTATTTTTAAGTTTGCACTTTGCAAGCCTTAAATCAATCAAGTGTTAACTTTTTTTTTTTTTTCTTGCAGCGTTTCATCCAGTACCTGGCCTCCAGAAACACTCTGTTTAACCTGAACAACTTCCTGGATAAGGGAGCTCTGCAAGGTAAAGCACACACAAACCCCTGTGAAGATCATTCACAGCACAATTTCCTTTCAGAGAACCAGATGGGGTTGATTTGCCTGGAGGTACATCACTCTGAACACCATAAGGTTTCTGATAATTAAGAAGAAAGTGTTTAAAAGTCAAAAGTAGTGTCAAAATATTATTTATTACTCACACTGAGGATATTTCTTTCCCTCTGACAGTTTTTTTTTTTTTTTTTGCTCCACCAGGTTATGACATGTCAACCTTCATCAGGCGATACAGTCGCTACCTGAATGAGAAGGCCATGTCCTACAGACTGGTGGCTGTGGATTTCACCAAGATGAAGAGAGGGTACACACACACTGTCATCTTTACTCTTCATTTCACACTTATCTTGTCACACAGCCGGAGACTGTGTTTATCTTTTGGCAATGCACTTAGAGAGAAGCAGTAGACAAAGACAGAACTAGCAGTTTCTCTGCAAAACCTCAAACTTGGACAGCAAACAAAGTTTTTTGGGGGTTTTTTGTTGTTGTTTTCTTTAGAGTTTATCCTGCAAGACATTTCAGACAAAACTGAACATTTTTCTGTTGCATGCATGTGAAATATTGCAGAAAGGGAAAAGCGAAAATGTTGCATCCAGCTTGCTGAAATAAAGAAATAAGCAATTAGAATTAGGACGGGAAAAAACAAGCACATGAAACACAAGTTGCAGATAGTTTTCAGTCAACTTGAGTAGATTTGTGGTTTTCATAGACTGCACATTGGGGAAAGAAAATGGACTTCTGCTCCTGAAAGCTGGAGCTGAGTGATTGATAATAATAAATTCTAGAAAAATACTGAATGAATTGGAATCGCAGTATTTCACCAAGAGAATGAAACTATGTAGGAAGCATATAAAAGGAGAATAACAATGGGCCCAAAAATGTTTCTGTATCTGGCTGTAAACATGTTTACGTCTGCTTTAAAGTTGAATATTTTAACGTGAAAGTCTCATTTTTTGGGCCCACTCAAATGGCCACTAGAGGAACTGGAGATTTATGGGGTATTCAGGGGTTTTGGGGGGGGTTTGTTCTTTTTTTCCTCTCTCTCAACTAAACCTTTAATTGCAGCCGTCGTATGCAGATTATGACACTTCATTTGTGGTATTTTAATCCCTCAGCTAAAGCTTTACAGCCTCCCTGGAGCCCTGTTTTCAAGTGAAAGTGGGTGCATCCTTTCTGAAGGTTTTGTGTGTGTACACAATCATTTCAATTTCAGAAAGTCCAGCCGCGGTGGAATGACACTGAATCTGTGTCACGCTGATCCAGCTGAGCAGAGTCTCATTATTTATCAGAGAGTGTTTTCAGTCTCCCATTTGTTGCACCTCAAAAAAAGCACTTTGCACTACTGAGGATGCTTCAGTATGCAAAATATCGGTTCACTTACTACATGCTTCACATAGTTTTGGATCATCACTTCATTCCTTTTTTGTGAATCCTCTTAATTTGCATCAGAATTTAAATTTTGTCCACAAGGTGCCCGCTGTAATTGTGTGTTTGTGTGCGTTTTTGCTTCCTGTTTTGTCAGTATTGACGGCGTGATGCGCACCATGAACACAGAGAAGCTGATCAAGACGCTGCCCATCATCCAGAACCAGCTGGACGCTCTGCTGGATTTCCAGGTACTGAGTGTCTTTGTGTGCTACATATGTGCGCGTCCTGTGTCAGCCATGCTTCGTTCACTTTCTCATCAAAATGTAAATTGAAACAGTTTGTAAAGTTTTGAAATGCATTGATAGGAGTATTAAATAAAAAAATCACACTATGGGGACAGATTGCACATCTAAGTGCGAGCGTCTAGGAAGGGCACAGGAGGACTGGGTGGGGACTCATTGGTGAGGGTGCTGTGGTTTGTGCCAGCGAGCTTCAAAGAGTGATAAAATGGATGGTTTCTCATTGAAATGCATACTGAATGTGTATTGAGGGAGTGTGTGTGTGTATGGAAGTGATGGGGTTTTTTATTTTTATCCCCTCCACCCAAACTAAATTGACATTTTGCTCGGTGTGTGGTGATGTGTTCGCTTCACGCCGAAGGGGGAGAGGTGTCGGTATTTGAAAGAGATGCTTTATTTTTCTGAAAAGCTTTGGAAAGATGTGAGAGCGATGCCTCCTTCACCCTCTCACTCTCTACCTCTCTTCTCTGTAGGCCAACCCTAATGAGCTGACCAACGGTGTGATCAACTCAGCCTTCATGCTGCTCTTCAAGGACTCCATAAGGCTGTTTGCTGCTTACAATGAAGGGGTCATCAACCTATTGGGTACACACACACACACACACACACACACACACACACACACACACACACACGCAGGATAAACAGCGAGCTTTCTCTCCTACATGTGTCAGGAATGATGAGGTATATCTGCAGTTTGTCTTTTGTGTGTGTTATGCGTGTCCTCACACTCACGCGCTTGTCAAGCAGATGTATAAAAACCCTCTCGCCAGCACATACACACACGTGTGCGCACAGTAGGTTTTGACAAGCTGTCATGTAGCTGCCAAAAGCTTCTTTTTCTACAGCCGATGAAGGTTCCTGTCTTCTTTACTTCCTCCTTTCCTTACAGTACTGTGTAAAAGTCTTGAGCTACCCCTCATTTTCTATATTTTGTTGGGAAAATAATGTTTCAATAATTAATTTCCTGAAACACCATGTTGTAGCCATTTCCCTCATTGCCGAGGTTCAAATTTTTGTGAACGAGACGCTCTCGTGACTTCTCGAGTGACAATACTGACCAGCTAATCGGTGGCATGCAGTGTGACGACATTACATTTTAGTACCTGGTTGGATCATTTGGAACTGCAGCCAAGCAGGTGCTGAAAAAGTACCTGATACCAGGTACTATGACCTAATGGAAAACCCTGCAAACCGTGGTGAAACTGTGCCGAATCGATCCAAGTAGGTACTAATGGAAAAGGGGCTTTGGACAAGGTTTCTTGTAATTTCTTAAAGCAGTCTTCAGGAATATTTCTCCAGGCTTTTAAAGGACATTTAAAGCTTTTCTTTGGACGTTTCTGCCTTGTTCCATTGTCAGTCGAGATGATCCCACACTGGTTTAATAAAGTTGAGGTCCAGGCTCTGGTGAAGCCAATCCATGACTGATAGAGTTCCACTGTGTGTTTGTCTATCATAGTATGCTTTTACTGCATTGGGAGTGTTTGGGGGATCATTGTCATGCTGAAAAATGATGCTGTTATGAATGAAACCATTTCCAGATTATATTGCATTTTTCATCATAATCCGATGATACTTTTCTGCGTTCATAATTTCATCAGTTTTTAAAAGATCCCCAACATCACTGAGTGAAATGCATCTTCAAACCATGACAGAGCCTCCACCTCTCTCCTGACCTCCTCCTTATATACTGATTTGAACAAAAAATGTCAAATTCAGATTCCCTGCTCGATCAGACCTGTTGTCACTGATTTTCAGTCTATGCCAGCCTTGTAATCTGACATACCTCAGCCTTTCCTCCCTGTTTCCCTTCCTTAAGAATGGCTTCTTGACAGCCACCCTTCCACTGAGACCATTTCTGACGGGGCTTCAGTGAACAGCAGGTCTCTAGTAGAACTATGTCAGGTCTTTGCTGGATTTTTTTTTTTCTTAAGGACATGACTTTCAGATACTCTTCAACTGCTGTAAACAGTTTTTCAGGCCTGTCACTTCTTCTTTCGTCCTTCATTTGTCCGGTTTTCTCAGATTTGCTGGCGTATGACAAGTTGTCGGCTAACAGCTCTTCACCTCGTTGGTGCAAAAATGTTATTTCATGCCTGTCAAACTCTGTTATCACTGGCCTTTTTTCATAGACTCAACTAAACAAAGGCAAACAAATGTGTTTTGGTGACAGGCAAGTAATAAAGTGCCTAAAGATACAATTTAAAATAGGTTCTCTCTAACGGTCTCTTTTGTAAAGACACAAAACTAGTCCATGCCTTGAGTTCGGTGCATTTGTTAAGTCAAGGAAAAAGAATGGCTCTGAAAATGGTCAGGTATAAGGACTGGACTGGAAGTGAGTGAAAAAGCAGCCAATGTCCAAAGAAAGAACTGTGAAAGACTTGTAGAAAACCTGGAGAACTATTACTCAAGAAAACTTTCCAGAGTCTGGCTGCTTGGTAGACAAATGAGTAGAAATGAGGGGTGGCTCAAGACTTCTGACTTTCGTACTGTACTTCACACTTCTGTCTTCCTTTTTCCTTTTAAATTTGTATGTCTTTCCCTCTCTGTAGAGAAATACTTTGACATGAAGAAGAACCAGTGTAAAGATGCCCTGGACATCTACAAGAAGTTCCTTTACAGGATGACGAAGCTCTCAGAGTTCCTCAAAGTGGCAGAGGTATATTTTTCCACGCAGACACCTTATTTTGAAGGCAATTTTGACCATTTTCCTTAAAGGTTTTTAAAACAAAAAACGAAAAACCCTTTATATATACATAAAACCTACAGATACGATGAACCAGAAGTGCATATAAAGAGGGCCACATTTTTGCTCACACAGCTACTGTACGCTCTTCAAACCAGAATTCCTAACTTGCCCTCCCAGCCCCACATTTGCTGCACACACTTACATATATATGCACCCAAAATAACCCCGAAGATGGAGCATGTGGTTAGGCGCTCCGTTAGCTCGCTCTCCCTCTGCTCCCCACACTCCTCCATCTCATCCTTTCTCCTCCCTCGCTCTTCCCTCCGCCCCTGACAGAGATGGATACTCGTGTGGCTCTCCTTCGCCCAGCGCCTACAGATCATCCCTCTTTCTGTCTTCCCTCTGGTGCCCCCTCTCTTCCATCCCTCCCGGTGTTTCAGCAGACTTGAAACAGTGAGATCAGCTGCTGTAACTTCCACATTAGTGGGTTTTATCTTCTCTCCATTAATGTACATAAAAAATAAATGTTCCCAGTCACTTTCCTTTTGTCTTTTATAATTGGCTTTTGAGTAGCGCTCTGAGCTATTCATATATTTTTTTCGCTTCCATGTTTTACATGACATGATTCAAACATGTAGATTTCAGGGATTTCCAAGCCATCTATGCAGTTTATGACATATCCATAAATTAAATGACATGTTTCTCAGTAGCGAGCTGGTGCAGATGAGTCTGCTCCATGTGGTCATTAACGCTACATCTAAACGATGAGTAGTCAGTGTAGTAAATGTACTAAAAACAACTGAGATCTTGAGGTGTTACCTTTTTAGTTCAATGGCTTGTTGAAGCAGATTTGCACATGAGGGTTGGGCATCATTTTAAGAAAGCAGCTTTCCACAGCAGACATTTTTGCTCAGGCCCTGCTGTTAGAAAGATTACCAGTGGCTCAGAACTGTTCTAATCAAAGGGAGCAACATGAACAGTGAGAGGACTCAGGTGACTGGACATTAGTCTTCATTAATTCTGAGATTTACCCCTCTTGTCGTGTGATTGGTGAAAAATGTCTGCAGTGTAAAAGGCCTCCTGTTAAAATGGGACCGTCCCATTTTTCTAAACTCTTAAGCTTTCGTTTAATAACTGAAAGCACCTGGATTGACTTGAAATGTGCCCTTGATATTCATGTTTGGTTGTTTTGTGATAAATGACAACAGGATAAATAATCAAAAGTATAAGTTGGAGGCCAACTAATTAAAATGTCGTCTTTGGAAGGAACATGTTTAATTCTTACAGTGGCTGAATCAGACATTTTACTGACTTTGGACTGTGCAGCTAGCAGGGTAAAGACTGTTTAACATCCAATCGGACTCTTTTTACTTTAGGATATCTGTGTTCTCTCATGCAAGCCCACTGGTTAAAGTTGAAAAAAGGGGGGGAAAGAAAATATGCTGTCTTTCAGTTCTAATGTTTTACGTATCAGGACATAATTTTAAAAAATCCTCAGCAGGTAAACACAACCTCAGATGAACAGCAACATATGACAAATTGCACAATGTCCTTATTTAATTAAGAAAATGAAGCTAAAACACACAAACAGTTTATAGAAAATTAGTGCACCCCAGGACTGAGCAGCTTGTAGAAGCACCTTGAAGGAACTGTTTTCTGTGGGACTTCATTAGTTTTTCACATCATCTTGGAGAAATTTTGTCCCGCTGTTATTTACCATGTGTAGTCACTTCATTGAGGCTTGTAGGTATTTGTTCATGCACAGTTTGCTTAAGGTACCACCGCAGCATTTCATTCAGGACCCCAAACACAGGAGCAAATCTAAAACAGAATGGCTGAAAAAGAGTCAAACTCCTCGTCCTTATCTGTCAGACAGATGTTTGTCTCTGGAATACTTTGGTATTCAGAGGAGTTCATGTTCAGCCCAATGACAACGTGCCCAGATCCTGTGGCTGCAAAACAAGCCCAGATTCATCACCCCACCTCCGCCGTGCCTGACAGTTGGTGTGAGGTGTTTGTGCTGATATGCTGAGTTTGGCTGTCTCCAAATGTCGAGCTGTGAATTACAACCACACATCTGATTTTTATCTTGTCTGTCTAAAGGACATTCTTCAGCAAATCTTGTGGTCTGTTTAGATGCAGTTATGGAAACCTAAATCATGCTGCCGTGTTCTTTTTAGAAGGAAGACACGTTCTCCTGAGAGTCCTTCCAAACAAGCCATACTTATCCAGTCTTTTTCTAACTGTGCTGTCATGAACTTTAACATTTAACATGCTAACTGAGGCCTGTAGATCTGAGATGTAACTCTTGGGTTTTTGCCGTTTCTTTCACCTAGGGGTGGGTTTGCTGGGAAAGTTGTTAATTATCTTTCTCAGTGTAGAATGATGGACTTTGCTCAGGATTTGACTTTTAATCATTGTCAGCAGTTGTTTCTCTAAGATCATTCCTGATGTCTTTTGTCCTCAGTCCACTTACTTACAATGCAGAAGCAGCATAAGTAGGTTTTTTTTGTTTTTAAATTAACTACACAATATTGTTGCTGTTCATCTGAGGGTGTATTTTAATCTTTTAAACCCTGCTTCAGACCAGATCATTTATTTATTTAAATGCTATCCTGGTCTAATAATTTAAAGAGGCTGTACATTTTTCTTCATTGACTCAAACGATCTTCAAGTAACAGGATTAAACGTTACTCATATTTCCTGTTGGTAAAGCTTGTTTATGTCGTGTCCTAGTGTTTTGGAGATGGTTTTGGTGCAGGTTATGGCGTCCTTTATGAGTGTTTTCAGAGTTATCACGCCATCCTTCATGCCTGCTCTCCCTCATCGGTCAGACATGTTTATCACTGTGCAGTCATTGTTGTCATTCACTGTTGAGATGTCAAACTTTTTCATGTTTATTTCTGTTTTTGTTGACACTGCCGCTGCATGAAGTAATGATTCCCCTGTTTTGTTTTGTTTTTCTTTTCTCATCCTTTTATTTTCACCAAATGGACCCCGCCCTCCTCTTTATGCTTCCTTCTCCATTTTATCCCACCCCCGACCCCCTCCTTTTTTCTTTTTTTTCCTTTTGTAAATTTTGTTTTTGACGACAGCAAGTTGGAATAGATCAGGGTGACATCCCAGATCTCTCACAGGTCAGTGTACATCTCACCGTCCACCTCTCTAATTCCAACCTTCTCACCTTTTTCCCCCCAAAGAGTCTCTCCTGCAGCACTACTTCTTATCTCACTGCTCTCTCTGTGCTTTCATCCACTGACTCACACTTTATTTCACCCCTGCCTATGCCTGTTTCTCCCTCCTGACCAGTTGTTTACTTCCTTTTCACTCTCCACCCTACTCCTTTTTTGTTTCTTTAAAAGAAAGCTAACCTGAATTTACTGTTTGAATCCAGGCAACTCCCTTCTGGTATAATTGATTTTGCTTTCCTGCTTTCCCTTTCACTTCTAAATACTCGTTACAGATAAAAAAAAAAAAAAAAAAAAAAAAAAAACCCAGACTGAGCTGTGTTAAAGTTGGCCTGCTTAAGCGCTCCGGGCCATCGGCATGCCTGACGCCGATTTAAAAACCCCAAACAATGAGCTTTGGACCTTGAATCAATTAAATTAAAGTTAATTGCAAAAATGAAGGGCTTAAAAAAACAGGACAGCAACAGCACTTTCTAATTGTCAAGAATAAATTTTCCTTTTTGTTTGTGAGTTCAGTGGAATCGCTTGAAGCGTTGTTTTTATCCTCCCCGTGGTTTATGATCGAACATCAAGGACATTGTTTTCTTTGTTACACTGCTACCCATAAACACACATTATAATTCACTTCAATACCGTTAATGACCTGTTTCTGTTTGTTTGTTTGTGTTTGTTTGCCTTCTTTGTAGTTCTAAATGTGTTAAAAATAGAAGGCCCGTCCTTGGATTCAGTGGAGTGAAATTGATCACCAAGAGGGCTGCAGCTAATGATTGCTTTACCAATCCATCTGTTGGTTGTCTTAATTAATCTGTGTAAAATACTGCAGTAAGTGGCATCGTTAATTGCTTCATTTAGTTGGTCAAACAGCAAAAACTAAACAAAAAAAATCGAGAATATTGGGTTTGTTGCAATAATATTTAACAGGAAAAAGGCCCAAATCCCCACATTAGAGAAGCGGAAACTGTTAGGCTGTGTACTATAGAACATTGTTTTTGAGAAATAATGAAGCTATTAATTGTTTTTCAAAATGATAGCAAAAGTATGATTATCTGGTTGTTTCAGATTCTAAATGGTGATGATTTGCTGCTGGTCTGTGTGATAGAGCATTATTAAAGTGTATGTTTTTTCTACAGAAGGCATTTACAGCAAAACTAGCAGACCTGCTGTACAGTCAGTCAGTTAATTTTAGTTACTAGTTGGATGAGATCTGCTGTAAAGGGGAAAAAAACCCTCAACAATCAGACATTTCTCTGTTGGCAACAGTGGCGAAGAAGAACTTACTTTGAACAGGAAGACACCTCCAGCAGGGGCAGCCATCTGCTGCGACTGTAGAGAATATAAATGATGGTGTTGTTGAGGATATGTTGAACCATCAACAAGCGCCTCTGCTTGCCTCTGTTAGCTGCCGTTAGCTTCTCTTGGTGTTTATTAGCAGCTCTTAGTGTCTGTTAGCTGCCGTTAGCTTCTCTTGGTGTTTATTAGCAGCTCTTAGTGTCTGTTAGCTGCTGTTAGCCAGGGTTGGTGAAGGTGTTTTTTGAAGTGGATGTAACATTGTTGGACTCTTAGTGAATAAACTCTCATTTGATGTGAGAATGTAATCAAACTGTTTATCAAAGGGAATGTTTTTTGTTTGTTTTGTGTTTTTTGACACTTAACCCTAACATTAGCTAGCATAAAGTTAGTTTAAAACCAACTATTGTTGTTTAGCCAGCTTGTTGTCAGCGATGTGGAGACAGGAGGGTCCCATGGCTGATCTCAAGCTGCTTACGTAAAATGCCAATAATGTGCAGTGACTTGTCTTTCCCGGCCACTGTATTCAAATATGGTTGGTGAACAAGCTGGCTTCTGCAAACCAGCTTTTTAATAGATGAATTATAGAATTATGAATTATAGATATATTTATTAGAAGGCATCAGTTTGCTGGAAAAGTAATTACATACTGTTCTATGCATATTTATGATTACAGTATCCTCTTTTCTGCTGACTGTATCTTTAAAGTAGCAAGTGTAGGCTAAATGTGGATGCATGTAATCAGAGATGCTGTCTTAGTGTTGGGTTGTGGGATTTCTTTTTGGTATTTTATATAACAATGAGTCAAAATTAACTTGGCATAGAGCAGTTGCTTCTGACAGATCTATTTCACCCACCCGCGACTTCTTTCATAGCACACAGCCACAATATGTGACTGATCCCAGTGTCATCTAGTTCCTTTGTCGCTGTCACAGTCTCTGCTATGCCTCAGCCAGCTCAGTTTGGTGCTGTTCAAATATCAGCACCATATCTCAGAGGCGAGTTATCAATTGGTGTGTCCTTGGCTGACAGATTCATCCATAACAAAATAATCATAAGCTGCAGCCCTGATTGGATTGACAGTTTATTAAATTGAGCATACTTTGGCTCATAGTTGAAATAAACTTGGGTGAATTTTTTTTCCTATTTTTGCCTAAAGGGAGGGGGAGTCTCCCACACACTGACACACAACAGTAAAACTTTACAGCTTGCTGGATCGCGACCTTGGTTATGCATTACTAAAAAATCATTAGAGTGTGAAGCTGGAAGTCAACAGCATGCGAGCTGACAGTGTGGGTGTTGAACTCATAGTAAAACTGCACAGTTTACTGTAGTCATTAAACAGACGTTTTTCTTCTTCCCCCTCCTCTCGCAGAAAACAAAAGGATCATACATTGTAGGTGGTGGGTTGCATACTCTACGCCCCCCCCAATCCTGCTTAACCTCCTCCTCCTGCATGAACGTCTTCATAGCATGTGTGTGTGCAACCATACACACTTGCACCTCAAGCCCTCAAAGGCATGCTCTTCCCCTGTTTTTCGAGCGCAGAATGATCTGGTGTCAACTCAGTGCAATATGTGTGTGTCGGCCTCAGGTGGCAGTCGCTATCAAACGCGCACACACACACACAGCCTTGGCACGACAAGCAAAAGGCCATGAAACCTCATGAATAGAAAATGAAGCTTCACCCCTCCGTCTTCATCTGCATGAAAAGAATCTCTGCAACGGCTTTCGGCTCGGCTCATTTAAATTCCGTCCTCCTCCTTTTTAGATGTTGTTTATTTCATACTTGTCATGCACGACATCATTTCTTCAACACGCATGGTGCAGGTGCTTTAATAGTGAATGACCCGAGCATTACTGCGTAATCACTGTCAAAAAATAAAGGAAACACCAGAGAGAAGAAAGCAGGGATTCTTTTTTTTTTTATTTAATACTAGCACTTTTCTCTCAGTGCTTTCTAAAGTCAGAGGTATTACTGCTAAGCATCTTATGTTAAGAGCAAGGCATGCTCGTGATATTTCCCCCCCCCTTTGAGAGTGTGTGTGTCAGAGCTAATATTGACTAGGCACACACACACACACAGTCTTCTTTTCACCTATTCAGACTCTGCGGCAGTTAAAGATCTTTCTTTGTGCAAGTCGCTGTTTCTTTAACAACTAGGCAACAGTTTGGCAAGAACCCACTGTCTGGCCCAGCCTCCAAATGCCTCTTGTGTGTGTGTGTGTGTGTGTGTGTGTGTGTGTGTGTGTGTGTGTGTCTACTGACAGCAAACTTTGCATTCTTGCGGACAGAGAGGCAGACATGACGTTGTGATATTTTCACAGTGAAAGAATTTCCCCTCCTCTCTCCAAAGCCAAAAGAGAGATGAACTATTCTTTTAATTGCTGCATGCTAAGTATGGACGACTGAAACTCCCACTTATAGAAATGATGAGTTTGGGTCTCTAATTTATTGGACTAGTGACACATTTTGTTTGCAGTCTTGCTTCTGTACACCACCACAGTAGATTTTAAATCACTGAGTCTGTGATTGACTGTGAAGGTTTTCAGAGGTCTAACAAACATTTTGCATTAACTGTTTAAAAATTGCAGCCATTTTTATACATATTACCGTATTTTAGAGGTTTAAAACTGACTGACAGGCACTTTCAGTTACAGTTCCTTGTTATTCTCTAAAAATAAAGCAGACTTAATATCCAAAGTTGATTCAAAGTGTTGAATTTTTATTTTTTAGGCTTTTAACTAATTTTAAATGTAAGACCCAAAGAGATGACAGTGTGAGTGAGGGAGGCTGTCATTAGGCTCGAATACTAAAATAAACCTACCAGAGAGGAACGGCAAGAATTTTCAGTGTGGCAAAATCAACAATTTGGTTCATTTTTTTTAAAAAAGGGGACAGCACCGACCAGCTCAGGAACACCAAAAAGTCCCACCAAAACCCCACAGGATGTGACTAAAGATGTCAGAATTATTTCCATGGTTAAGAAAAATAAATTCACAACATCTAACCAACTCAAGAGCAATCTCAAGGAGGTATGAGTATTATTGTCAGTGTAAAATCAAGAGACACCTTCATGAAATACAGACTGTTTACAACAAAGTGCAATCCACTGGTTACACTGAAGTACAAGAAGACCAGATTAGACTTGGCCTGCACAGTTCTGCAAAAACGGCAAAAGCCAAAACTGCCAAAGCAACCCAAGAAAAAATTGGACAAAATCAGTCACCTGATGTCAAACCAACTCAGAGGCTTTTTAGTTACAAGATACAGAACTGAAGATGGAGATCTACAGACAAGCAGCAGCTAAAGAGAGCTGTAGTAAGGGCCTGTTGGAGCATCTCAGTGAAGGAAACACAACATCTGTTGATGTCCATGAGTTTGACCTCTATTTCCTAAACAGTTTATGCAAAACTGTTCGTTGAATTAAAGCTGAAAGTCTCCCACGTGGTGTACAGACGCAAAACTCTGAAAATGTTGCCTTTTCCCAACAAGTTATGGGCATCACTGTAAATGAGCCATTAATTGCATCAAGAAAATACTGTAGGCATTAATTTCATTAATGAAATGTGACAGATTGATTTATTTGCCAATTTTATTTTTATATTTGAAAAGGTTCTGGTTGTATTTTCCATCCCAGTTTACTTTGATGTGATATATATTCATTTATTTCAATAGAGATACTTTCTTTTTCCAGAAATCTATCGTCTTTATCTCGTTTAGCTGTTGGTCTCAATTTTTTTTTAGCAGACAAAGAAACACACTTT